ATGAATTTAAAAATGAACTAAATACAAGAGGAATTAATATTTGTAACAATGAAAATAACAAATGAAACGTTTTTCAATGCTATTATTTTCTCCGAATAGGCAAGCTGAAAACATTTTCAGAATATACAACTAAATTTCAAAATCTAAATGAATTTCTTTGGATATCTCAAAAACAGCATCTCAAGAAGAATATCTCGAAAAAGAGGGTTTCTTCATTTGAATGATATAAAGAAATATTAATATCCTATATATCATCCAGGAAATGTTCAGAATTGTTTTTATTGCTTTTCAATAAATTTTTTGGCGTGATTTTTTAGTACATATTTATCACGGACAAAACACAAATGAAAAATATTATACTTGGTATGCATTATTGCCAGAAATTGAAAATAGTTTAATTTTTCTATTGTTTTTAAAGTTGCTGCTTCTTTTGCAAACAGACGTCTGCTACAGCAAAAAATAGTATTCTTTATAGTTCTGAAAATTCAGAATGAAGGTTTTGAGGAATTTAAAAATAACATCTCAGTTTCAAATCCTGTCAAATGGACACAAAACTTGTTTCCATGCCATCGGAAATAGGGATTTTGGACCACCAAAATGATGCCTGACACTCCTATAGATATACTATAGCAGTCATTGGCTAATGATGTTACGGCACTCTCCAAATTGATTGGAGTTTCAAGTACGACCCTAACCACAAATGCTTTGAAAAAATGATAAACATACTTTCATACTCTAACAATAATATTTGCCGTTGCTTTGGCCAGAAGGGCCTGTTTGCGAGTACACTAATTCATATGTATGGTTGTTATGCACTACCAATTCAGGAAAGAAATGTAGAGGTCTCACAATATTACTTACTCTGATATAGACATCTCTGGAGGAATCTCAGACCATAACCTTGCATATTTAACAGGTGTAACGGCTTCTTGGGGGTCTCTATCTACATGTAAATGTAACATTAGCCTGCAAAACGATGCTCTAAGTTCAAAATTAACATTTTCGTTAGCCATACATTTGAGTATTAATTCAATATCAAGATGAGGTGACAGATTATTGAGTGCTAAATACTGTCTGTTTAAACACATATTCGAAAACAAGTCAAGCTGATGACTATAATAATCTAATATAGCTTGATCTTCCTTACAATCCATTTTAGCATTTCGACAAAGATCCGTCAACATTTTTGATTTCTGTCGGTTATAGTAAAGAAGTACGATTTGACAATCTTCAACAAAAGTAATTATTGGTTCCGCTTCTTCACTCTCAAGTTGTCCTTCATCATTAATTTCTTGTAATTCTAGTTGAGTTTTCATCATTCTTGTTTCAATAAGAATGTCCGAATTTTTCTGGCTGAGTACACTTTTACAAATTAACTCCTGAGTCACGGGTATAGCCTTTTTATTTGAAATACATAAATCTGAGAGATAGTCCAAGAAACGTGATTCCCAGTTACTCATGTTCTTTCTCACTAATCCTACAAATGTTTCGATTTCTGCAGGAGTTATGTGTTTTTCCAGTAATTTTCTATTATTGTGCAGGAGAGCCGTAATTGTATCTTCTGCCAAGATGTCATAGCCAATTTGTTTCTGCATAAATCCAAAATGCTTGGCTATATATTCTTGATTCTTTCTATAATCTTGCTGACTCAATCTCAAAATTCGATAACAAAGCCTAAATATATGTTTATAATGAGCATGTCGCGGATCACTGAGTTCTTCAATCTTCAAAAATGGTCCATCAGTTCCATTGTCTAAGAATGGGCCCTAAAATAAAAGTTTCTCAAAAAGTTTTCAAGACAAAAATATGATTTTTACTTGTAAGATTTTGAATAGCTGTTTTAGAATTGCCTGTTCCCTCAAAAGTTTTTGTCTGTCTCTATTTGGATTCGTCACCATGAGCTCTAAAGCCTCACCTTTATTCTGTTCATTCTCGAGCTCCGCAACAAAATATACAATATCATGTAAAAGTGTGGTTAAAGATCTGAAAATTAAAAAAATTCAATTGAAAGTTTGCATTTTCAATTGATTAAATTTTAATTTTAATTGAACATATTTTCAACTTTGATTCATTCTTTGTCGTAAGGTTCACATATAAGAAATTGTTGAGAATATTGAGAATGATTTTTTATGTGTTTTTATGAAAAGTAGTGCTGTTTTCGGGACTGATACATACAATCAATACATAAGTAAATAAGACCCACAAAATATCCAATCCAATTCCAAACAAACATTTTTTTGCCACATAAATTATTTCTTGGGTATAAAATAATAACTAACTCATTGTAAGTGTGTGTCAAAACAATATTAATACCTCAATGCGTTAATGTGTACAATATTTTTCGTTAGTCCAAGTTTAGCTAACACAAACAAACTGGATGATTTGCCCACTCGAGAGCATGCCACGTATAATTGTCCGCATGAAAAACATGGTGTGCTCAAATCCAAGCCATAAACGGACATTGTTTGGCCTTGGGACTTACTAACAGTCATTACAAATGTCAATCTAATTAGATGTTTCACACGTTTAAAATGAATTGGCACACCTATAGGTATAATAGGGATTCGTGGTATTGAAATACATACATACATACATAAATACATACACCTCGGAACTTGCCATTCAAAATGTTGGCTTCGACAACATTTTTCATTATTTTTTTTTTATGACTAATCGCGTCCGTTGCATAGCCGTGGTGGAATCAAATTACGGAGCGATCCAACCTTCAGTTCTAAATTAGGTGGTGGCATGGCTAGCAAATCCAATGAGTTCAAAAACTCTGTATTTACGCTCGATGGATAAACAATAATAGTGGCTGAAAACTGTGTAGGAAGTGAGAAGAGGTTCAACGAAAGTTTATTATTTTAAAAAAAGATAAATTCAGTGAAAACCACATAACATTTATATAAACAGAAATGTCCATTCATAGTTTAGGCAGATTTTGAGTCTCAATTAGAAAAATGTAATGTTCAAATTTTTAATACTACTTCAAAATACCAACGACATAAGGCCTATAGTGCAAGTTACAACCTGAAATGTTCCTATGATGATGGCCTTTCTCGCTTCAATAGCTATCGAGGTTCGGATTGTATGAACTGTTTGGTTGGTGAAATGAATGAACTCGCAAAATTACTTTTATCCAAAATTAAGAATATGATGATCCATGATAGTACCTCCAAATACTACCGGTACCGCAACGACATGTCATATTTGCGAGAAACCCTTTACAAAAAAAGACGTTATAACGTACGATTACTGACATTTCACAGGTCGGTTTAGGGGATTCGTCCATCAAGCCTCATGTAATTTGAACTTCAAAAACAATTTATAGTTCCCATCACATTTCATAATTTGTCATAACTTGTCATTTCATCATCAGGGATATTTCTAAGCGAAGACGTGTGAGCGAATGCTCCCCATCAATAGAGGAAAGTACATTTCCTTCACATCCTACGATGACGAGCTCTTTCGAAAAAAAACTTGCGGAAACTAATGAATAACGTCATTTTTGACTAAACGATAAGAAACATCCAGAACCACTGCATCGTCAAATTGGTGCGAAAATATAAAGGCCGTTACGGTATGAAAAATTTGGTTGCATCTCTCCGATTTCACCAACAAACAGTTTTCGATGAGAACCTCGTAGCCGTCGAGATGAAAAAGACTGAATTGATATTCAATAAACCTCTTTATATTGGTATGACTATTACTCGTACAAGTTAATGTACATCGACCTTTACTCGTTTATATACGAAATTTTCTATGACGACGTTTACTGCGACTTACTTCTACCAAATTTGGATAAATATTCCTTTGGTGAGTAAAAAGATCATAGGTCTGATGAAGAATGGAAGTGGAAACGAGTGGAAACGTTTGGGAAAGAAAGGGTACAGTGAAGAACTTTTAGATCGGGAATTGGAAAATTTTGGAATAACAAAAAAATCAAAAGGAATTAGAAAAATAAAATAAAATCAGTCTTGGTGATTACAATACTCTCAAGCTGCGTACAAGCAAGCAGTAAACGATTCCGTTCCACGCTTTATGTGTATAGTATAGAACAAAGCAATGTCGGACTGAATCCGCACGATAACAAACACCAACTCATCAAAAATGCATTTGGTTCTCTTAAGGTCACTGCAGACTAAATCATTTTTTTCGTTTATAGGTACCCACATTAATTTGATATATCAACATCATGTATTTACAGTGTTTGAACAGTCATCATAATGCAATTGACTATGATGAATATCCTCATCATAGTCAATTGCATTATGATGCAATTCGTGAATTTCGAATATTTTGATAACTTCGACTATGATAATTTGGATTTACCTATCGATTTCATAAAGCATTATTGACAATTTGGAACCATATTGTAATTACGACTCATACTGTATTTGGATGAAATTTTACGAAACAAATGTAACTACTTATTTTCGATTGGTATTCGTTGTATGGTTTTTAAAATATTTCTACTGTACATTCACTCTTTTCACTCTTTCAAAGTGTGCTTGTTTTTCATAATATTCTATAGAAAATCAACATTTTCGATCCAACTGTTATGTTTGTTATTATGTTTTCCCTCAACACTTTTTCCACGAAATATATATCTGGATGACAGTTGTTTACAATTCTTCCCCATAGAAAGCACCCGTAATAGGAACACCCTGCATGCCTTCCAGCATGAATGTGGCGAGGTTGGTGATGTTTACTTTGATAATTTTGGTAGCTTTCTTGGCGCTATACGTATTGTAGTGATTGATTTGATGTTTTTTCATCAGACTGTGAAATTTATTGTTGTAAAATTATGTACCCTAAACGGTTTGTTGATTTTTCGTACAGAGTTTCGTGTGTTCCAAAACATCCGAAAAAGTTTGAGCAATCTCTTCACCGTATTTCGTTTTGAGCGGTCGCTGTCCCATCTCAGCCAAGTCCATTTGTCATTAATCGTCCAAACCTTTGATGATGGTAAGACGCCGGGGATAACTTTTTCGAGCAGGTCGAGGTAGCTCATCGACAAGTTGAATTATCTCCTTGGAAGCCATGAATTTCAGAATGCTGTGAAACAATTCAATGTATTACATTGGAGAAAGGTTTTGTTGATGGCAAGCTCCTGATTTTCAATATTCAGAGCAAATATAGATATTTGCTATTGGACGGTAGAACGAAATTGTTTCAATTCCCTGTCTATTTTTTCAGTTGAAAAATCAGTTTGCTGCATGGATTGCAAAATTTTGGTAGTCTCTTCATGAACCAAATTGTAAAGTTCTTTAAATTCCTTCGATAGATCGTTGCCGATATATTCCATATCGATTTCATATTGTCGTTTGAATTATTCGTGCAACTTTTTGAACTGTTTCATAGGATGTTGAGCCGTTTCAAAAAGATCGACGTTGTTTGATTTTTTTTTTCCTAACGTCATTATTTATAAGCGTTTTGGCATTTGACGTGAACTAAATTATTTTCTCATCAATTTCAGTTATATTTTTTCTTATCGAAGCAGTAAGGTTTTTTCGACTTCATCCACATTATCTTTGTTGAAATTTGATCATAGTAATTTTTGCACCATATTTCGTGACACGTTACAATGCAAATCATATAGGTGTTTGGAATATATGAGGCATTGGAAATGCGTTTTTTTAAAATGCGGTTGAAGTGTCCGAAATGACCGTTTCAACGCGTTATAATTTTGGCATCAAAAATGATGCGATTGTCGCAACAAAAATGAATGCATCATCGCAGTGTAGTCTTGATTATTATAAAATAAAATTCCGGAATCTTTCGAAGCTATAAGCAGCTTCAATCTATCGCATAACTCGTTCGGATCGTTCCAACACACATACTTATAAGGTTTCTCATTTGTATATCAAACGGTGGGTGTCGATTGCATTCGTCTGTAGAATGCTGAAAACAATTACATCATTGCTCACTAGATCACCATAACCCTTAAGAAGTGTTTGAACACGAAACATGGGTCTAATTAAATGTTCCTATTTCCATTTTTTGAGTTCCCTTCATGAATCCTTTAGCATTCAAACGGACTTGTGTTAGCTCTAAAATGCGTTCATCTGTCTGATCCTCCTTCGAAAGAAACTCGGCCGAGGGTTTTCAGTGTCACAATTTTTCGGGTTTGAAGGCCGTCGATTTATAGAATTTCTTCCTGACGTTTCACTGGTGCGAGAGGCTACCTTCCTCAGAGGTTTATACATTCTAGAATCTCCGATGACTGGATATTACGGCTGCGTAAATCGTTTTTACGTGACTCAGGTAGTTTGGTATGCGAATACCTGTACCTGGATTAGGTAAATTGGGTGAAGCGTGTTCATTCTGACTCCCGTAGTTTGATGTGCTAATACTTGAACCTGAATTAGGTGAGTTGTCAATAACAGTCGTCGACCCTTTTCTACCTGCCATCATGCTATTTGCTATTCTTGAACTTCTTAAAATGGGATTTTAAGATTTTATGCACACATTCGCTTGAAGTCCTCGAATGATACGTATGGCGATACATTTTCATCGAATATATGCTTCAAATTCATTTCGTCAATACAATCGTGCTGCAATTGTCGCGTATCAGTTGTTTTGGTATCTTGGAATACGTCTAACACAGACAGATAGCATCGATGTCCTTGTGTCGACACACAGAATAGTATTCGCGCATGTTCTGCTGACCATCGCAGGCTACATCGTTGAATATAAAGATGGAGTTCCGTTCAGCCGCCTCTGGACACAGAATTTGTTCGCTGTCTTGAAATGGAAAAATAACTGACTCCTTTGGATTTTTCCAATATGCCTCGAAGTGCTGATACTTGGATTGATCTAACAACTTTGAGTACACGTAAAAATTTTCGAATTTAGCTCCATTCGGATAAATACACACCCTGATGGACCACATTTGATGACGCGGAAGGAAATGGGCAACAACTTGCCGTTTTTATTACGCCATCATCCAAATAGTCCAAGATGTCTTTGGGTAATGTGTTGTTTTGCGGAACGACTTCCATGTTCTGTTCGATGGCGCTGGGAGATTCAATTCAATCTGTAGAGTGCACATCGACGTCATACATCATTTCTCATGTTGACTAATCATGGAGACGGTGTCGTCAATACGCCTATCAATAAGCTGCTATTCAAATAACACCTGGTACGAAACTACAATAACGTTTTGCACGAGGTGATCCTGGTATTAATACCTCAGACTCGGATTGTAAGCAACACGACTTGGAATATTCGCAGGAAATGGATGTTAAATCATTTCAACGCGGCATTCTGCGCAGAATATAATCAAAAACTGAAGCCCATGACGAACGATGTATCCGTATCCGAGAATTCGGCTCTAAAGGCGGCAAAATTGGTCGTCTATAAAGCTGGAGGACGTGAGAAGATACGCATACCAAAAGTTATTTCTTTCGAAGCGAAATCTGGAGAGGTTCTATATCTCATATCTATATTTAACAAAAAATTTTCATCTACTTGAAAAAAAATGTACCCTATAGAGCTACCCCATAGAGCATTATATGATCCGGAAATTGAAGAGTGTGCCCGTAAATTGAAAATATTATATTTTCGTGGAGTCTTTATGCGAGATGCGTTGCCAACTTGTGGTCCTTGGCTGGGAGATTGTGCAATATTGAACTTGTATTCTCAATTGAATGCAGGCACTCATTGGGTAGCTCATAACCAAAACTATGATTGTATACAATATTTCTACAGCTTTGTTAATCTCAAGCCTGCAATGAAATTGGTACAATGTTTTGGAAAGGGTATAACAATCATATATAATAATGATCAGTATCAAAATTTCAATCAGAATGACTGCGGACATCTCTGCCTGAAGTTTCTACTTCTTAATGTCTGTGGCAAAAAACTAAACGCTTCGAACTGAATGTCTGAGAAATTTTACCGATGCAGAACTGAAAGTTTTGTTAATCGACTATTTGATAAGATATGCAGAACCCTGGGAATTATTGGATTTGTAGCATAAATTGCCAAAGGACTAAAAACATCGATTTTGCAGATTTGTTTTACCATGTTTCATCTATTACTTACATGAGGTGCCTACATCATCTGTGACATGGCTACAAAAAGCAATGCATTATGGTCCTATTACCTCACAATAAGTATGTCATTATTGTATGAATGAATGATTTTTTCATCCAAATGTTGTTCATAATCATTATTTAAGGTGTGCACATGTGGTAAATGTATCAGTCATGCCTATGATATTAACTCTATTGAGTTGTTCTTCGATGCTTTCCATCGATTTCAATCCGCCCCATCAATTGGATACACATTCACAATATAGTTTAGCTTTTTCCATACGTACAACAGTATACCGAACATTGAAGAAGGCATGTAATTCTAATATTACGAAAACGCTGACACGACTAAGCAAAAAAATTATCGATACCCCTGCTGGATCTTGCGAAATTGATGATATTGAAGTTTTGATAAGCTGATATATTTTGCCTAAAACATACAAGGAACACCCCAAGGAATGTTTCTATTTAAATCCGGATAATAATACGCTGAAAAGCGAAATATTTTGTTTGAAACACTCGATTGATTTTCGACCTGCAAATAGTTTAGCCCACATTCTAGAGATTTCGTCTGTTCTCCTCAAATCGAACGTACATTACGCATCCGATATACCTGTGGCAATCATTACAGTAAGTACGATATACATAGATAGCAACATCAGGTTTGGAGCATTATACAACGATATACATTATACATCCGATATACTAATTTGCTGTTGAACCCCGAATACGCAATTGACGAAACGCCAAATCATCTTATTTATCTATCCATTTCTCATACAAACGAACTAATCAACATAACGCTGCGAGTGCTCGACCAACATTCTAGACTCATTGATTTTCGAAACGAATAAATGATTCGTTTGGGATTAAAACAAAAGTATGGTTTCAACTATCTATGAGTATAACTCACCACACCTTACCATAGTCTTCACCAAGACCTTCAACCACCGCCAACTACTGTCAACGAAGAATAAATTGTTTTTGGATTCCCTAAAATATCATGTTATCCAATCAAATGTTCAAAATTTTCCTGAAACCGCAAAAACGATGATTCCATGCAAAAGGTAAAGTAATGGACCTACTACCCTTATGTCAAGTCTTTTCGCAAGAATGATGATAGTGAAATTAACATTAATCAATCGGATACCTACGATGCTTTATAGGACAGCTTACTATTCATCAGCGAGAGTTCAGAGAGACCAAAGAAGATGGTCGGCTGACCTTCGTAAACAATGCTATGAGCAGAGTGGTGAAAAATTAGAAGCAGTTCGTGAAGTTGGAATTGATAGTACTGACTCACCTTTCCTTTC